CTACTTTTCTTTCCTAAATACTGGATCACTGTGTTCTTTACTTGCTTCTTATTGAACGTTAAATTACTTTGTCTACACTTTTCTAGTGTGCACATGGATCTCCACTCAGTGTCTTGAGTAGTCCTTTCAAAGACTGATTAGAATTGAGTTGTTTGAAATTACTTTTTGCCCTTCTCTCAAAATCCATTCTGTATATTGACTATAATGCCAAAAACTAACTTCACATTATCTAATAAATTACTCTTTAATTTGCATCATCGTCATACATGGTGGTCAAGTGATATTTACAGAGCTCAAACTTAAAACATAAATGGAACAGTTTCCCCCTATTAAAGTGAGTAGCATAGTGCTTTCCAGTTCTCATTTTCTCATAGGCCACATACTTACAGGTTGAACATTTGTCAGTGACCCACTTAGTGGTGGATATAGCATGCCTAGGTTCAAAGAGAAGCCTGACTGAAAGGATTTTTTGCCACTTCCTGGAATTTGACTTTGTTACAAGTGTCAGCTACATAAAACATAAAATGTAATTAATGAATATGAACTTCCAAATCATAACTTTTGCTTTAAGTCCTTTGCTGTCTTAGAGGCTTGAGATGCACTTTTACTGCTACGTGGGTTTTTGTGTTTTATCAGATTTTGTTGAAGCAAAATTAAAGTTAAACTGATTTTCCTCCATTCATTTCCTCATGCCTTCCAGATCATTTTGACTTTTTCTACTTCAAGTGGTTTCTTCTTTTACCAATCATTTAACTAACTGTTGTTTATTATACACCACATTGTCTAATATTCATAGTGTCCCGAGCATAAAATCTAGTAGAAAGTGTACAGAAACAGCTTTAAACAGTGCTGTGAAATAGCCACAAGAACTATTGATGAGAAGAAGCCCAACTGATAGTTTGTGCATATAACTTCTGAAGTATTGCTCACTTCTGCAAATGAGCAGAGTATTCCCCTTGAAGGTGATGAATGTTTTCTTCTTACTGGCACAAGTGATAACTCACAAAAATAAGAAACTCAGTCATTCCTTTCTTTAGGATAAGCTAAACTTATTACTGTTTATAGGTCTGAATTATGGAATAAATAGTCGATGTGCATGGATAGTCTCTTGTCTGTATTGAGGTTGAGTAGGCCGTAATTTTGAAGATCTAGGAAAGGCTAAACTGGATATTCAGAATACCTATACACATAATAGTAGACAGAGCACCAGGACAGCTCACTTGGAGAGGTGTCAGAGGTTTTTTAGGCTAATGTGTCATTAAGTGCAAGCTGGAAAAACAGAAGCTGGGGTAAAAGCCAGATGGAGCTGACCCTGTATGAAAACAGTAGGAAACTAAGCTGCTTTTTGATACACATTTAAAACTGAGGCTTATTTAACTTGTGGACAACTGTAGATTTACCTTCTGTCTTCCAGTACCCTGTTGTGGACTCAGACACATAATCTACTTCAACTGTGTTACTAGACTTGGAAGCAAGGATGTGTTCTGCAGATTTCTGTCTTGCTGAATGGAGTTTGGTGTAGAAGAGGCACAGATGGAAGAGTCCAGAGCTGTTTTCTGTCAGTGTTCATTTTAATCTCTGGCTTCAGGCAATACAAATGAGTCATTACAGTTATTAAATAATGAAGTTTCTCTTTTTTGATATTCTAAGTGGTGGCTGATTTGGATTAAGTGCATCTAGCTTCTACTTAAACCAAGTAGAAAGTGTTTTGTCTAAACTTTTGTCTTGAAAGCAAAAAGTTTAGACATTGAGGAGGGGGAAAAAGCTGCACAGAAGGAGAACTTGTTTTAATTATACTGGCCAGATATCTCTAATTTGATTTTAGTAAAATTTGTGTGCAGTGGGTATACTGCTCTTTCTCCCTCTGAAATCTACAGTCAGATGGAACTTCTCTCTGGCTTGTACAGCTGCAGTGGTACTAGCATAAGTTTGGACTGAAGTCCTGTACATCAGTGAAATCCTTAGGAAGAACTGAGCTTTTGAGTTCTTGTAACCCAGTTGGCACTTTCCCACCAAGTGAGAAATACCACCAGCTGTCATACTTTGCAATAATTGGGATATCTGATGGGTCGTTTGAAATAGCTACTTCTACTGCATTTTGTGAAATGCTTGTCTGGATTTTTAAAACTCAGCCATCTGTATTATGAATTGGCAAACCTCTTAAACAAGCATCTTCCCTTAACACAAGCAGGGAGACTTAAGAGTGGTCCCTCAGGCATCTGATTCCAGAAATTGGATTCAATTTGCCATTACATGTATTGCTTGTTGAGAGCTGAGATTCGTCTTTCTTATGTGCTTCTGTGAAGAAAGTGATTTTTTGACTGTGAATTATTGATAATGTGTAATCGAACCACTAATCTTCAGGCAAAATTTCGATTTCTTTAAGAAGTTTTACCTTTTCTTAACCTTTTCAGTTTAAGGCCTTTGGAATGTCAGATCTGAACACCTTTGAATTTTAGATGGTAACCCAAATTAAACAAAACTGAATTAAATAAAATCATTCACAGAATTATTGAGGGTGGAAGGGACTTCTGGAGATAATCTAGTCAACTCCTCCTCCTCAAGCAGATTCTCCCTGAGCAGGTTGCCCAGGACCATGTTGAGTCTAGCTTTGAGTACCTCCAGGAACGCAGACTTCACAACCCCTCTGGGTAGCCTGTTTCAGTGTTTCATCACCCTCACAGTGAAATCTTTTTTAATTGTAAAATTGCAGGATAAACGTGCAGAAATTAGTTCAAGCTTGTCCTGAATAAATTACTGGATTTTGTTTGTGCAGCTCCCTAGGTTAGTCTACTAATATTCATGAAGCTTAACTAATAGAATGTCTGCAGAAGAACTGATCATGAATGATATCCTTTGTAATAATTGGGTATGTTCTTTGCCTGCAGTCATCTGGGTGTGTTTAATGTGAAAAATAGATCACATGAACAAAGGGGTAGTAGAAATAACTTCTGCACATCTTTGTGTTCACTCTGGAATTAGAGAGTAGTGCATTCGGAATGTCTTACATGAAATAGCTTTCTCTTAAAGATTTTAATGTCTTTTAAGGTTGTAGTTTAAATGGGTTCCTTCCTAGGAGATTAATAATAACACCAAAAATCATCATTTCTGTATTAGGAGATAAGACTAAAATAAAAGCCGTGCATGAAGAGAGACATTCCTTTAAGTTGCTCTTTTATGGGGACACTGCTGGGAAGACTTTCTACAGACAGTGGGAGTGATGGAGGTGACAGGTATAGAAATTGCTCTACTGTAAGCAAACTGATAAGGAAGAAGGCACTTCTAGGATAAAGAACTTAGCTATATCTAGGTAGAGCTGTAAATGAATACAGAAATGCTTCTGCATGTTTCCATATTGTTTGTTACAGAAACACCAAATTGCTGAGGTTGGAGGCACTTCTGGAGATTGTGTAGTCCAATCTCCTGCTCAGAGCAGGGTTGTCTAGAGCAGGTTGCTCAGGACCTTGTCCAGTTGGGTTTTGGGTGTGTTTTGTTAATAACTTCGCATACATTAACCTGTTCAAGGCTTCATCTAGCCAATTTATTTGTTTGTGTGTACTGTTTTGGGGAGGAGATTGGGAAGAATGGGGGTAGCTTGGGGGCGGGGGATAGTGGTGGTGTCTTCTAACTTTTGGTGCTATGGTAGACTAATTTGTACAAAATTACGAATGCCAGCAGTGGTGGGCTTGTTACTAAACCCTCTCTTGTCCTATTTAATCAACTACAAACTTCCCATCCGTTTTTTGCACTATGTACTATTTAATGCATGCTGTATAGATACTATACAAGAACTTGATACAGCATAGGTTCCTTAATATCTTTGCTGGCAATAAATGAATTTGCTATTTGTGCTTTATGCAGTATTATTTATCCTTTTATATTGTTATATCTCCAAGCTAATCTTTCAAACTAGCATTTTGTGAATTAGATATATTGGATGCTTCCCTTTTGGCTTGTTTACTGGGTGGTTTTTGGATTGTTTCAGTTTCTAAAAAAGAATGGTCAAGGAGTATGGGAGAGTGTTTCTGAAAAGGTCTGTGCTAATATACTATAGTATAAATATACTGAAGGATAGTATTCTTACTAAGTGGTATCCTATTGCTATGTTAAATTCTTCCATTATTTGCATTCTTATGCACTAAAACTGTTTTTAAACGGGTATGCTGAAGGCAGCTAGTTAAGGATGGTATACTTCAGGTTTTGAAGTTGTCATGAGATGACTACTGCTAAACTGCCAAGTTTTTAATACGAAATGTTTAGACAGAATACGCTGTTAGAAATGGGCTGTGGTTCAGTGATTAAGAGCTAATTTAAAATGCTTTATGTCCATCTGTCATCTGAATTACCAATGCTAAAAGAACATGAAAATGTTGCGTCTTTGTTGGATGATACTTACCTCATGACCAGTTATTTGTACCAGTTGTTTTGAATATAGGAACAAAATAAGCCTTTAAACCCCTTGTTACTGAGAGGTTCTATTAGTGTATGAATAACATCTGTAGAAATGTTCGGCTTCAAATCTGGTTCAAATTGGATATTGAAGTAATCTGAAACACACTCATTTTCAAGCACGGGTTCACAATTTTGCCTTTATACTTTTTATGTTCAATTAAAAAGTTCAAAAGTGAGTGAGTAGTGGACTTTTTATGTCATCTTAACCTTGAAGCTCCTTCACTTCCTCTAGTCTGTAATGGATCATAACAAACTCCTGAACCTATTTTGCATAGCAATTTTGAATTCTTTCATTAAACTGACTGTAGCCATTTCTGTGTTGATCTTAGGGCAGTCCTTGGGAACAGAAGATAGTTAAAAAAACACTACTAACCTTACTGGAAAAATTAGGTGTTGTGATCCTTCAGAACTTTGTTATTTGGGGTAGATACTGTTTTTAATATAAGCAATTTTTGCTCAGTGTGTCGATATAGGTTTTAAACACTGTTAGTTCTCCATTGCGTAGCACTACAGTAATAATGATCACTCTTCTTCCTCTTTTTAATCAGGACAGAGCTTGGGTTATGGTTTTGTGAACTACGTTGACCCCAAGGATGCCGAAAAAGCTATCAACACTCTGAATGGATTGAGACTTCAGACTAAAACCATAAAAGTATGTAGTGTTAATTATGATTTAAAGAAAATGAAGTGTCTTGACTTCTTGTTGATCATATGCATTATTTGTTTTCCCTTTCCAAGTGTAACTTAAGCATTCTGCTAATGGCAATAGAATAGACCAGGACTTTACTATGTAGCAGATGGTTAGTCCTCTCTAGTCGGTTTAGATCTGGAGAGGTAGATTATGATTAAGTACAGAAAATGTCATTTTTTTTTATGGACTTGATAACATTTTAGATGTGTGCTTGAATTGTTTTAACTGAGAAATTATTATATGCTTTAGTTGCAGCAATGCAATATTGCATATAGTGTGAACACTGCACTGTGTGCTCTCTCCTTACTTTCTCAAAGAAGATGGTATAACTTCCTTATTAATACTGCCTTTTTTTAGGTTGCTAGTGTCTTGTTTCTTACAAATCCTTAAAATGAAATGCTGAGATAACTATTTTGGTTATCTATGAATTACTGGACTCCTAGGGCTCTAGCCTGTAGGTCTCTAATGTTTGGGATTCCTGGTTTTTTGTTTGTGTTGTAATGCCTGCATCTCTTGTTTACTAAATCCAGTTTCTTCAATTTCTAGAAGCAGAAATCTTAAAAGTTACTTTTTCTCATCTACTGTCTTATTTCATTATCAGAAGAGTGAGGATACTCATTTGAGGAATTGTTTGGGCTCTGAAATCTTGAGAGAGCGGAGACAAATTTTATCAGGGATTGCAGATTTTTGAACATACTTCATAGGTGTTGGTGCCTGAAGGTAATCCGTGTTCCAACCAGCCCATTCTTTCTCATTAAATAGCAGGGTTTGCTAGCTGATCACTTGAATAGTGACTGTCCTCTAACTAGGATCATGTTTGAGCCATAAGTTAAAGCTCACTTCTAAAAAGTTAGAACTTAAAAAGCAATGCAGAGCCACATAAAGATGGCTGAGACAAAAATAAGATGGCGGTAATAATGGTTAGAGTGCCCGACCTGTTCTGGATTCATAAGATTTAATAAAGTGGATTACATTATTTGAAACTTAAATACTGCTGTTTAACAAATGGTGAATCATGACTCACAATAACAGTGGATGAAAGACATGGATAGGTGCTTTGCTGCAGAAGGCTCCCTACGTGCTTCTGGACGACTTCTTGCCCACAGGCGGACTCTCCCACTTTCTGCTTTGGGGGAAAACTGAGGAAAGTAATTTCATGTTCCAGGTTTTTTGAAGCTGTCTTTTGGGTGGTAGTGAGAAAGGAAATGGGTTTGCATTCCAATCGTATTGCAGGTACACTGTATCTTTGCATTTAATGTCTTGGATTGGACACATAAAAAATGCATCTGTCCAGGGTGATAAGCTGGAAGTTCTGATGACTGTATAGCCAGACAAAAAACAATGTTGTCATAGAGATTCAAGCCAGGTCTCCCAAATCAAAACTGATCCCTGAAGGGGGTTTCCAGTGACTTACTTTATACTTCCAGTATATGAATTCTTAATCCTCTTTCACCTTGATAAGTGATTACTGTATTTCTGTAACTAAAAATTGATTGTAAAAAAAGTCAGGGGAAAAAAGTGAAAATGGAGTAGACAGATGTGGGTGATGACACTGGTGCTTTTCCTTTCCTGCCTTCCTAGGATGTGAAAGTAGAATTGTAGATTGTAAACAATACCAGACAGTGACCCTTACAGTGAGACTGAAGCCTATGTGTAAATTTTCAGGGATTTATGCCTTAGATGTCCTTAGCTGAAGAATATCTGAAACATTTGAGTTGTCACAAGCTGAAATGACCTCTTCACCAAAATAAAGAAAAATCTTTGTTTAGTTAGAAAAAAGTATCTGTAAATGTTGCTTGTTCATGTTGCAGGTAAAATTCTGGCTCTAGCTAACCACATTCAGCCCTGTTTAACTTCAACAGCATCTTTCAGTGTTAGTGTGCATGACTTGAGGGGAAAAACTGCTTTACTCCTTTCTCCTTTACTCTTCCTTCTTGGACACAAGCTGGGTTTCGGGCCATGTTTTCATGACTGGATTCTCCCAAGATGCTGTTTAAAGAGGCTGGGTTTACTTTCTTCCACACTGCAGAAGGGGCAGAGACTAGGGGGATCCCTAGTATGTTTTAAGACTAAGGCACTTGTATATTGCACAGTTGCTTCTCACAGCCTACTGTGAAGCACTTAGTAATTCACATATTCATCAGATCAACTGGGAGGCAATACTGAGCAGAGGTAAAGCTGACGTCCTGGGGCAACAACTGGGGTGGAGGGAATCGCTTATGAGATCTCAGTGCCAAGACCTTTGCAGAGGCTACTTACAGTTTATAGACCACAGTGTTCCTATTTGTCCAGAGTTGCTACTTCAATTAAAAAAAAAAAATCTGTTTGGCAAACTCAGAATCCAACCCTTAGATTTACTTTCAGCTTTAAAGAATGGCTATCACTGAGATTTTTATGCATACCTTCATATGAAAAATGATGGAATAGGATAGTGTTAGTGGATATTTTGACTTCAAAAGAAAAAAAATAGATGCTTGTTCTCTCTGTACATTTTTAGGACTTCTGTAGAAATGTTTTGGTAGTTCACTAGATTGATGGTTGAAAGTGTTTTCTCTTAGTCTACAAAACTGGAAGGAACCTCATTGGTTAGGTGATGGACCCTCACATTGTGGCTGAACTGAGAGCATTCCCACTTGGAGGGAATTGTCCTGATCCTGATGTGTGATGTTCTAGATAGGGGCCATGACACATACCTCTGACCCACTGTTTCTTACTAGCCTGTTAATCGTTAGATGTATTTCTCTGATCCCTGAAAGAGGATGCCACCTACTGTTTTTTCTTGAAATAAAATATACTGAAAAGGTGGATTTGCAAAATGCTGGTTTAAGTTTTTCTGTATGAGTAGTGATATTAAAACCTATTACCTGACACCTTTTTAAAAAGAACATCTTGTGGAATACTTTATGGAATACTTTATTGAACTATTTGCAAAGTATCTTAACCAAATTTCAGATCCATACCTCCAAAGCAAGTCATAGCAGTCTTAGTCTTGTCTAACCTGGTAACAGTTGTGTTGCCTTCTGATTTGACCTGAACATTAAAACTGTGGGGTGGGTATGCATTCATGTTGATGGCACATCTTAGGTGTGTTAGATACCTGAACTAGAACTCTGCTAGACAAAATACCTACACATATTAGATGGTGCTCTGTGGCATTATTTATGGTTTATTTGCAATGTAAACAGGCTTATTTGTATTGCAGGTAGCCTGGGAAGTTTGGGCTTCATTTCATTATGCAACTTTAGCATGAACAACAGTCATATCTTAGAAGAGGTAAAGCATTTTCTGTGGCTTCTCTTTTGGAAGAAGCTGCTGCTGGGAAGCACCTCTGCTCTGTTCTATTTAAGAGCCAGTGAAAATGTGGATTTCTGTGCCTGGAGTGATTTTTCTGCTTACCCACTTGCTTGTCCATGACTTTTTTTATTTAGGTGGTCCTGGAAAGATCAGTTCTTTGCAAATGTGGAAAACTCAGAGGAGCAAACAGCATATAAGAGTCACTGACTTGCACATAGTGATAAGAAAATTTGGCGCATGTTTTGTTGGCTTGGCTTCTGCTTGGGAGAGGGGAAATCCTCAGTGGCTTCCTCTCCCCTTGCTCCTGGGAAAACTCCTTCAAAAAAAAAATAAAGTTGAATTTATTGCGGGATTATCTGAACAGGAATATCTTTCAATGTGGTGTAAAAGACTTCTACATGAACAAGAAAGTGTAGTAAGGTCCTCTGTCTAAAGAGGAGTGGGCAAATAAATGGCCTATCTTTGAACTGGCATAGAACTGTTTAAGATGCCGAATAGGAGGCAGCTTTTTACCTGAATTATTAGGGGTAGCAGGAGGACACAAGAAAATCTTTGGCTTTTCTCCATGGATGCTAGACTGCTTGAATGATCGGCATGGTCTTTTGTGGATCGTAGCTGCCAAAAGGACACTGCAGATGGCAGCAATGCAGTACTTGTTCCTCCCTCGCCAGGTGAACTGGGGCTGAGGAGCTTCCTGCTGTCCTGTCCCCAGCTCTCCAGTGTGAGAGGGCCTGAAGTAGCAGAGCCTCTGCATGTGGGAGCAGGCAGATGGTTTTCTAACTCATTAGTGCTGATGATACATGCATAGACATGTATGTAAATATGCTTTGGAAAGGGGGAAGAAAATAGTTTGTCCAGGCTAGAGACCTAGGAGTTGTCCTTTTTTATAAGATGGCATTGATTATATAGCTGTATTTTACCTAGCTAGTGCTTCTTAAAATTCAGAATTGGTAAGGTTTCTTCCTCTTTTAAATTCTTTAGATTATTAGGGTGTTTACATGGGTAATTATCACCTGTCAGGGGAATGGAGATTTAAGAAATATTTTATCTAAAGTATTAAATGTGTAGGTTTTCTTCCCACTCCTTTATAGCTTTGCATATATTAAAAAAAAAAAAAATCAGGCTTAACATGTAACATTCTGCCAGCTTCCTGTTGGAATGAAGTTTGACAAATTCTTTGGCTACAGGCACAGATGTCCTACTTTGCCATCATCACCTAGTTAACTGCCCTGCTGTAGAAAGCTGTGTAATGAGAAGAGCTAGTTATGACTTCAGTTAAAGAGTTAATACTGAACTATCAGCTTTACAAATGCCCAAAGAAGTGCAGTACAGCAAAGGAAGACTTGAAGTGACAGATGTGCCACAACTCTGTTAGTGTCCTCTGAGGCAGAGCGTCCTGAAAACTTGTCATCATGCAATGCAATTTCACTGGTGCCTTGCACCATTACTTAGATTTACAACAAGATGCATTTTAAAGGAATTATCCTCTAACTTAAGTACTCAAGTTCTCTACCTTTATGAACTTCTACCTATTACAGTACTCTTGAAAATGCTGTGTACACTTAATGGAAAAATAACAAAATGCTGAAAAAGAAAACATGCTAGTTTGATTTCCAAGTTAGTGCAGCAGGTAAAAGATTGAGATTGTTCCTATCTTCACCATTGGT